GGAGGGCTCCATTGCAGCCAGAAAGTTTAAGTGCACGGCGAGCGAAGCTTTGGCGCTATATCCTATCGTGCGCAGATGGCTGCGGACGGGTCCCATGCCACGAGGGCAGTGCTTGCCGGCGTGCAAGGCTTTTCTGCACATGGCCGAAGTGGTGGACCTGCTGCACGGTGCGCAGAGGACGCAGCCCATCACTCCAGCGCACTTGTTGCGGACCGTGGAAGGGGCGCTTGCAGCCTGCGTGCAAGCGGGATGGGAGCACAATATGATCAAAAAGTTTCATTGGTTGCTGCACATGCCTGACAGCTTGGAACGCTTCGGGCACTTGCCAGCGTGCTGGACGCTGGAGCGCAAGCACCGCATGGTCAGTCGCTATGCATCCACTGTGCGAAATACGCAGCATTACGAGCAGTCCCTGCTGGAGGAGACGTTAGCGCACGACCTTGCAGTGTTGCGGGAGGACGGCTTGTTTGCGCACCAATGCGATCTGCTGCAAGAGCACAAGTGCTCCAAGAAGCTGTTGGAGCACATGGCTGCTGAAGGCATTCCATGCGATGGTGCTACGTGCAGCAGTCGCGCACGCCTTGCGAGTGGGCAGATCGCATGCTTGAGAGATGTCGTTTTGACCACAACTGGTGCTGCTGGCGAAGTGCATGCTTTTTGCAGGCTGGGAGGGCAGCCATTCTGCCTCATGGAGCTCTATGACCTCAAGGAGCACCAGAGTCCGCTTCAGAGTGCACAGTGGACCCCCACGGGCCGAGGTTTGTTGCAGCCGTTGAGCGACATCCGCTGTTGTGTCACCTTCAATCGCATTAGTGCGATTGTGACCACGCTGCTGCCGCAAAGCTGAAAAACATCCGTCTCTCCAAGAATTTTCTCTTCTGCTGCGACATACATGTCACGTGCAACACACTGTGCACCTTGGAAAATACAATACACCGACCACAAAAATTGCTAGCTTATAAGCCTTTCATAACCATGTAACCCTTTAACATAATCCTTTACGTAACCCTTCCATAACCACTTATGTAACCCTTTATGATAACCACTTGATAACCCTTTATTAACCTCTATAACCCATATAAGTCACTAGCTAAAAACCGGTCCATTAAAGTTTATAATGTCCACACAGCTGATGCGCTCGGCTTAAAGGCGGCGCGCTTTTTTTTCTCTGAAAAAGGGGGCGCACGCACAGAGGGGCTGGCGCGAAAACTCTCTGATGATGATTTTGTTTTTGTACGCTGCCTTTTGAAGGCGGCGGCGGGAAATTTGGAGGCAGAGAGGCGCCTTCAAACGGGGACTGGGACCCGGGGCTGAGCTGGTCCCTCCAAGTGTGCTTCTCTCGTGCAGGCTTTTGGGGGGCCGGTGGGGGTTGGGCAGATTTGGGCAGAAAGCGAGACTTGCCGCGGCCGCCGCGGTGACGGGAGGGCGCGGCGGGGGGTCTCAGCGGAACCTCGGCTGCACTTGGAATCCCCCGCTGGCACACGGCCGCGCGCTCTCTCCCCCTGGGGTCCCCGAGCGGGTTCCACATGCCACCGCCATTCTGCAGCTTCTCCTCCTCTTCGTTGAAGATGGCCCTCAACGGTCGAAGCGCAGCACAGCGCAGCACAGCGCAGCACAGCGCAGCACAGCGCAGCACGGCGCAGCACGGCGCAGCACGGCGCAGCACGGCGCAGCACGGCGCAGCACGGAGCGACGGATCCGCTTGGGCTCCCGGCTCCAGGCTCTGCTGCTTCTTCTCTGCATCCTCAGGGCCTCAGACATGACAACTCTAGACGAAAATGTGCCAACTTCAATGTCGTCGTTCAACGCTCGGTTGTATTCGCAATCATGCTCTGCAAGCGGATGCTGCTAAACAAAGCCGGTGCCTACGAAGACGCTCCGGCACCAACGCGGACCGAAACTGCCAATGCATGCAGGTGATGTGTTCAAGCGAGGAAGGTAACTAATGTGTATGTATGTCTGTATGTGTGCATGTGCCTGTACATACATATATAATATATTCACACCTTTTATTCGATTGGGTAACCCTACGGAAATGGCGAGAATTTCGACGAGATTGATCACCAACATCATCAGCACATTCACACCACCCCAAATTTCATGCCTGCACAAACATGTAAACCCGACCGCCAGCACAAAGCATCATAAACCCGACCGCCAGCACAAAGCATCATAAACCCGACCGCCAGCACAAAGCATCATATATATATATATATATTTCAAGAAAATACAACATATACCATGTACAACACATACAGTATATACATATATATATATAAACCAAATAGAATGTATATACAGTGTATACAGTATGTGTGTGTATATATATATATATATACATACATACATACATACATACATACATACATACACACATATATACAGATTGATTGATTAATTGATTGGGTACTGCCCCCATACAGTAACAGTCCGCAATAGGTTAAGGGCCTTGTATATCCATATTTGGAATATAACCTTAACCCAACTGTTACTGAATGGGGGCAGTATCCAATGTATTTTACAAAAAAGACAAATACATAAAACATATATATATATATATATAACTATACATAAATGTACTGTGTGACGGCTTGTAATTGACGTTCCTGTAGTTCGCTCACCTCAGAGAGCTAGTTGAAATAGATGTATACCAGGTTCCGGACGCTACAACGCAACAGAGCAGCTTATTTTCAAGCTGGGCTCAAGATGTCTGCGCGGGTAAGTACATGATCAAATGAGCCTAGTCAGCATGCACCTTCACACTCCCTATACAAGTGCAGCTGATACAGGCAGAACTACTTAGAAAGTCAACGCGGCGCACTATAGCGGAGCTCTACAGACAGGGTACTTTCACAACAACGAACGATTGACAGCGCCGTGCCACAAAACAGAGACCTCGACCACGCGCCACTTGGGGTTCTGGGCCCTGGGGCTCTGGCTCTGATTCTCTCCAGGTGAGCCCTTGAAGGCATCCAAGAAAGCGGAGAGCACGTTCTGCGAGGAGCAGGCACCCACGCGAAACTCATCACCTACACTGACACCCATCCGAGGCTTCTGTCAGACCTCTCACAATCCTCTCACATCTATGCTTGCATCTCTTCCGAGTGCTCTGACATGCAGCTTGTCTGTGATGCTCCCAAGTCCTGATCTTCCTTGGCCAAAGCCAACTTCATGTTGGAGCCAAAGCGAGAGTTGAGCACCGTGAGAAACTGTCGGAAGGTTTCAAGGAGGCTGCAGGCACAAGCAGAGCCCGTCCTGGGTCATGCCGACACCCTGCGTATTCCACATCTCATCTCCGAAAGTGGCGCTGATCATCACCTGGGAGGGACAGAGCGGAGCCGCAGGGACTCCCTGGCGACGGTGGCCAAGCCGCCAATTGGGCCCCGGGGCGAACCTGCGGAGCGAAGCGGCACGACAGAGAGCAGCGACAGAGCAGCGACAGAGCTTCAGAGAACTTCGACGCTCGGCGGCCCGACTCCTTGAGCCCAAGCGTCGCTGGACTTATCCACTTCCTGCGAAAGAGCGCACTTCGAAGGTGACGAACTCCAGGACTTTACTGCGGACTTTACAGAGAACTCTGCGGCCGGCGCCCAGGGCGCGCGCTCGGCGGCAACGAAAAAAGACGCGCGTCTAGAAGGGCGACATTCGGCCCCTCAACGGCACATGTTCGGTCGCCGTTACGAGCACCTCGGCCTCACACCTGCGGTTATAAGTGAGAGAAAGAGAGAGGGAGAGAAGGAGCGCGAGAGAGAGCAGGGCCGCAAATTGGTTCAACTGCTGGTGACGCTAGTGCTGGTAGTCCTTTTCACGGGCTTTCTGGCGCGCTCGTCGCAGTCTGGCTCCCTGCAGGTCCCGGCCTTGACGTAGATGTCCCCGCCGCTGCGCTCTTCGAAGTCCACGCCCAGGGGCATAGACACCTCCACCACCTAGCGAAGCTCAGCACATCGACCCAAACCAGCCGAGAGCCGAGAGACAAACACTGCCAACGGGCGGCCCCCGGAGCTCTCAGCGGAGCCCGCACGCGGGCAGCGCGTCCCCCCGGAGTATATAACTTTAAGCCTCTGGCCCGCGCGGAGTCTTCGTCGGCCTGCGCAGCGAGGACTCTACTGACTCTCCATACCGTCTCTTATAAAACCATGGCAAAAGGCTCCAACTCGCTGCGCGCCTGCCGCGCGGATCTCGTGCCGGTTTCTGCTGGGTCCTGCGGAACGTACGAACGTAGATTGAAGAAGTGCTTGCCTAAAGACAGCCTTGAGCCACCCTGCCTGCTCCGGCTCGCTGTTCAGGAAAGGCAAGTCGAAGACTTTCACTGGCAAGATGTGTCAACTTCCGACTGCCTGCCACACCTGTCTTGACTCTACCCGCTCTGGCCGCTCTTCACCGCCACCTCGGCGTGGTGTCGAGGAGGGCAAAGAGGACTTCGTCAACGTCCTCCCACAGAGGAAGGTCTGTGCCTCAGAGCCAATGCAGGCACTCGATGCGCTCGGCCGCTTTGTCTTCTAAGGGCCGGGCAATCGATGTCAAAGTGAGCCTGAAAAGCTGAAACATGCTGGCCGGCTGCTGGATGCCGCAACTCTTTAGGCGGCGGGCGCCACTGCAAGAGCTGCAAGTCCTGAAGACAGCGGAAGCAAATTATGAGAAATTATGAGAAGGACAGGACTTGAAGCCTCTGGAATTCTGAGGGCCGAGCCCGAAGAGCGGCGTGTGCTTGGAGCCATCCTCCAGCTGAAGAGTTCAAAAGCGCAGCTTGGGCTTGGGGGGCGGTCCGGGACAGCTGCTCGACTGCACGCTTCTCTCGATGCCCGGGTTTCTTGAACTTGAACCGAAAACTCGGAGACCTAGAGCATGTGCTGCAGATTCGGTCGCAACAGCTCATCCATCTTAGAGAGTGTCATATCCGGTCCCTTCCTTTTTCAGCCCGCGGAATTTGCCCAACGCAGTCAGGCCGTCGTCAGGCCGTCAGCGGCAACGCGACGGTGGTCTGGTCGCAGGGCACAGGGACCACAGGGAACGGCCAAGCCGCCGGTGCAAGCGACGAGAGCAGGGAGACTTTTTCCGGGGCAGAGAGCAGAGAGCGTCTGGGTGATCAGAGGAGCGACACGGAGCTCGAGCCCACGGCTCGGACGGAGCCCATGGCCTTTATGAGCGACGCGGAGATTTAAAATCCGCGCCCGCCGAAATGCGGCGCTCAGCGCGTCACGGCTGTCGTCGAAGCTCGCGGAGGCCGTCCGGCCCGGCTCCGCGGCGCTTGGGTGCCTTGGACATGACCTGAGACTGGCTCAGTGGGAGCAGGAAGGGTGCTGCCTCTTTCGCACTGCAGCTTTGGCAATGCTGGTGGAAGCTTCTCTTCGAAGAGAAACTAAGAAGTGAGGTGCTGGAGGGGTAGCCCACACCGTCGGATCCCTGCCGCTAGAAACAGCTCGGACGAACGCCGCGGCACCAGTACATTTTCTACTCGACCAAAGTTGCGTCATCCGCAGCATCTGGCTCCGTGGCTAGTGTCCGAAAGGTCCTCGTGAAGATGCAAGAGTACATTGGCTTCCTCGCCCCGACCGAGCTCGTGAGTTGCAGGACCCTTTTTGTGGCATGGCTGAGGGTGAAAGACGCCGAAACGCGAGACGGGGCGCGATGCGGACAGGCACTAAACGGGCCCGCCACGAGGCGGAGCAGCATGAGTCTCTGAGTGTTCTGTGTGGCTTATATACCTTGGAGGTCCGGCTCGTTCTGCGGGGTGCCAAGTACATCGACTTAGTTCGTTCCATGTGCAAACCAGCCGACGCGCCAAAGTCGGTGGCATCATGGGGTCGAGTCGACAAAGGAATCCAAGGACTCACCCTCCCACAAGACGGCTGAGAGCAATTACGACAGGAATCGCACGGGCCAGCATCATCAAACTGGCTGTGCGGGG